AGAGAGAGAGAGAGAGAGAGAGAGAGAGAGAGAGAGAGAGAACAAGAAAGAGAGAGACAAACAGATAGACAGACAGACAGACAGACAGAGACAGAGACAGAGACAGAGAAAGAGATAGAAATAGAGAGACAGACAGAGGCAGAAATAGAAAGAGAGGCAAATGGAGAAAGAGAGACAGAGAAAAATCTACAATGGTTTTCGTTTTACTGTTGATTTTGTAATATATGTGAAAATGTGTGAAAGAGGGAGGTGTGTGTGTGTGTGTGTGTGTGTGTGTGTGTGTGTGTGTGTGTGTGTGTGTGTGTGTGTGTGTGTGTGTGTGTGTGTGCGTATTTGCGTATGTTTGTTCAAATACTTAAAGGCAGAGTTTTTAGACTTCGATCAAGTAGGGTGGCGTGTGGAGGGGGGTATATATAATATATTCAAAGCTGTTACCCCGCCATTGCCTTTGGTCCCTTAGGAGACAGACGTTACCATTATCTATTTATAGGTTCCACTTTTTCTATGACCTTAACTCTTTTGAGTACACCACGGACACATAATGTGAGGCATTCTGGTGAAATAAGGCGCTCGGCAAAATAATGACATGGAAGAAACAGGTGATTTTCCTCAGGTTTGGCAATTTTTATCAATTTTTTTTTTCGCTCAACACCGTTGATGTCCATCAATAAAAACTCATTTCCAAGTGATTTTTATACAAAAACATTGATTAATGGCACTAAAAAAGTAAATTTTCATTGGTAAAGGACTATATATCAAGCTATATCAGTTACCAAACTTTTGCGGCTATTTTCTTGATGATTTGACCCCTGAAACCATACTACCCCCACCTCCTTCAACGGCAAATATCTTGACTTCTATTCAATATAGATGGGTGTTCTTTTAATTGAAAACAAGGCAAATGAATAAGCTTTCAGATAATATGAATAACTCCACATGTCCAAAAATTGACGAGCGCCTGATTCCACCACGTCGTAACACATAATTCCGAGGAGCAGCAGACTAAAGGCATATTTCAATCCAGTGGGTGGTTGACGTGTGCTCTGGTATGGTGTGGTATGCTTCAACTTTCCTATCAAACATTTATCTTCCTTATCTCCCCTTCTTCTTTTTAAAAATGTTTGTTGCTCTCTTGTAACACCTCTAAGCTTCTGACGCTCATATGACCTTAAGCAGTTGCGAGCGCCGTAAAACCTATACTAAAACATAACATTTCAATGCATCATACACAAATCAGACACACACACACACACACACATGCATATCTCATAGTATCGAGTACTATAGAGATCTATATAGTATGCTTATTGTCGTCTACCCTTTGAAGGGTATAGTTGAATTTTTCAGTTGAAGGGAATAGAATTAAGCCATCTACTATATAAAAATAACAAAATTCTTCTTCTTTTTTTATAGTGACCAAAACGTGTGTCCTCAGTGAGTTCAGCCTACCTGTACGCCCTGGGGTCATTTTGTAACCCAGGGGTTGTATTCTTCTCATTTTAAAATACTTCTAATACAAAGATCTCTTTGAAACTTTCAGTCTCAAATAATCATTTTGACAGACTGCTATGCAAAGCGTACGGATTGGATTAACGAGAAAATTTCCTCTTTGGAAAGTGGTGGCATAGAGTTCCCCACGTCGTATGGATAGGATAGTAAAACACGACGTACGGACAGGGTTAAGTGGTAGCACAGAGTTCCCCACGTCGTATGGATACGATAGTAAAACACAACGTACGGATAGGGTTAAACAGTTACCTGAGAGTAGGAGAATCGCCAGTT